TATACCTGTTAGGTAGTTGGCATCGTGCAGTTAGTAGTGTAGTAGTAACCAGTACTAAACCTGTAGGTATTGTCGTGCAGTAGTAGTCGGTAGTATATGTAACCAGTACTAACCTGTTAGTGGTAGTGTCGTTGGCAGTGTAGTTGGTAGTACTAACCAGTACTAACTCTGTAGGTAGTTGTCGTTGCAGTAGTTAGTGGTAGTAGTTAACCCAGTATTAACCTGTATGGTTATTTGTCGTGGCAGTAGTAGTGGTAGATAGTAACAGTATCTAACTGTGAGGTATTTGTCGTGGCAGTAGTAGTGGTAGTATAATATAAACCAGTACTAACCTGTAGAGTGTTGTCGGTGGCAGTAGTTAGTTGTAGTAGTAACCAGTTACTAACTGTAGGAGTATTGTCGTGGCAGTTAGTAGTGGTAGTAGCTTAACCAGTACTAACGCTTTCAGGTAATTTGTCGTGGCAGTAGTAGTGGTAGTTTACTAACCAGTACGTAAACCTGTTCGGTAGTTGTCGTGGCAGTGAGTAGTCGGTAAGTAGTAACCAGTACTAACTCTGTAGGTAGTTGTCGTGCACGTAAGTAGTGGTAGTAGTAGCAGTACTTACCTGTAGGTAGTTGTCGTTTGCAGTAGTAGTGGTAGTATGTAACAGTACTTAACCAAATGTAGGTTATGTTGTCGTCGGCAGTCAGTGTGTAGTAGTAACCAGTACTTAACTAGTAGGGTAGTTGTCGTGGCTAGTATTGTGGTAGTAGTAACCCAGTAACAACCTGTAGGTAGTTGTCGTTGCAAGTAGTAGTGGTAGTAGTAACCAGTATCAGAGCCTGTAGTTATTTGTCGTTCAGTAGTTATAGTGGTAGTAGTAACCGTACTAAACCTGTAGGTAGTTGTCGTGTGCATGTAGTAGTGGTAGTAGTAGCCAGTACTTAACCTGTAGTAGTGTCGTGGTTTCAATGTAGTCGGTCCTACCCTCTAGCAGGTTGTCGTAGTTCTCTCAGCAGAGCTCTCCTGGCGCTCGGGAGCTTCTTCCAAATCTTCATCACCTTCGTTTCTTTTAAAGTTCTGAGTCCTTTCATGACGTCAGTCTTTGAAGAATCGAACAAAAGTAGATTTAGCTTTGAAAGATTTACTACTGATTAAATACCTATCATTTAGCTATCAATTGAGGTGCTTGATTTGGAAGAAGTAATTTAATTGTTGACAGCACTTTGAAATCATTTCCTGGTTCCTAATGAGCTCCTCACATGTATGAACCTTGGCTCTGCTTACTTTTCCTTAAATCATCATCTTCATGTCTACTGTTGATCAAAACAAACCAATCTGAAGGTTTCACGTGCAGGAGTTTAAAAAACCAATAATCACTGATTACAGATGTCAGAGTTTCCTCATCAGCATTCAACCGGGTTATTAGATAGTTCAGGCGAAGAGTCCTGAACGTGTCGGTGAAGTGAAACTGTAGAAAATTGGATGAATGAGGAGGTTGCAAGTTCTCATACTGTGACCTGAAGAACACGAAGCCTCACGAGCTTCTGATATCGTACGTGAGCGTGATAGTGACGTGGACGTCAGGTTCCAAGTTCATCATAGTTTAATGTCTGTATATCTGGACACTGAGTCTTGCAATTTTTAAGTTTGGATTGAATTGATTGATTGAATTGATTGATTGTGATTGATTGATTGAAATTGATTGATGCCCAGAGGTCCAAACGGAACTTTCTCAGATTGTTTGTTTTGATCAACAGTAGATGAAGATGATTTAAGGAACAAGCAGGCAGGTCATCGCACATGTGAGAAGCTGGACACCAGGAATGAATTCAAACTGCTGTCACAATGCATTAATCTTTTCCAATCTAATCACCTCATTGATAGCTAATGATAGGTGAATTGTAATCAAGTGGTAAATCTTTCAATATCTAAATCTACTTTTGTTCGATTCTTCAGACTGAGATATGAAGGATCAGAACTTTTTAAAGACGAGGTGAATGAGATTCTGGAAGAAGCTCCGAGCGCCAGGCAGAGCTCTGCTGTGAGAACTATCGACAACCTGCTGAGGGTGGCGACTACTGCCACGACAACTACGCTAACAGGTTAGTACTGGTTATCTACTACCACTCCCAATACTGCCACGACAAGCTTACCTTACGGTTAGTACTGGTTACTACTAACCACTACTACTGCAACGACAATAACTACAGGTTAGTAACTGGTTACTACTACCACTTACTACTGGCAACGACAATCTAACCTAACAGTTTAGTACTGGTTACTACTACCACTACTACTGCCACGACAACTACCTACAGGTAGTGATGTTTTACTACTACCACTATACTGCCACGACAACTACCTACAGTTAGTACTGGTTTACTACTACCACTTACTACTGGCACGACAACCTACCTACCAGGTTTAGTAACTGTTACTACTACCACTACTATCTGTCACGCCAACTACCTACAGGTGTACTGGTTCTAAACTACCACACTACTGGCCAACGACAACTACCACAGTTAGTAGCTGGGTTTACTACACTACACTACTTACTGCCCGAGCAAATACCACGCAGGTTAGTACTTGGTTAGTTATCTATCCACTACTACTGGCACGACAACTACTATCAGGTTAGTACTGTTTACTACTAACCACCTACTACTTGCCAGACACTACCTACTCAGGGTTTAGTTACTGGTTTACTATCAATCCCGACTACTACTGCCACGATCAAATACCTACAGGTTAGTATGTTTACTACTTACCACTTACTACTGCCACGACAAATACCTACAGGTTTAATACTGGTTACTACTACCACTACTACTGCAACCGACATCTACTACAGGTTAGTACTGGTAGTACTACCACTTACTACTGCCACGACAACTCTACAGGTTTTAGTAACTGGTTACTACTACCACTACTGACTGTCCACGACAACTACCTAGCAGGTTAGTACTGGTTACTTACTACACTACTACTGCCTTCGACACATCTACCTTACAGGTTAGTACTGTTTACTACTACCAACTACGTACTCTGCCACGACAAATACCTTACAGGTTAGTACTTGGTTATGTAACTACACTACTTACGGTTGGCCACGACAACCTACCTACAGTTAGGCAACTAGGTTTAACTACATACCCACTTACTACTGCCACGACTAAACTAATCCTATCAGGTTTTAGCAACTGGTTTACTACTACCACTATACTGCCACACGAAACTACTACAGGTTAGTTACTGGTTTTACTATACCACTACTACTGCCAGGGGGGGGGGGGGGGTGGGGGGGTGGGGGGGGGGGGGGGGGGGGGGGGGTGGGGGGGGGGGGGGGGGGGGGGGGGGGGGGGGGGGGGGGGGGGGGGGAAAGGGGGGGGGGGGGTACGGGGGGGGGGGGGGGGGGGGGGGGGGGGGGGGTGGGGTGTGGGTGGGGGGGGGGGGGGTGGGGGGGGGGGGTGGGGGGGGGGGGGGGGGGGGGGGGGGGGGGGGGGAACAAATACTCAAGTTAGTAGCTGGTTTGTTACTACACTACTACTGCCATGCCATACTACCTACAAGTTAGTACTAACCAACCTACTACGCATGCAATCTACCTACAGGTTTAGTATACCACTACTATTCTACTAGCTGCACGGGCAAGTAAGTAGTTTCCTGTGTTGTCCAGTCCTTT